CATATAAACATGCATGAGAATTTAAAAAATAAAACAAAAACAAATATGTTGTTTAGAGAAGTTTTTAGCCACATACATAAAAACAAATTACATTTTGTATTTGTTAGCTTTGTTTTATTCAAGATTTGTTTATTATTTGTACAAATGACTAAATCCTCTAGTTTCAGAACCTGTTTGCATCACGAGCTCTGCTCTGTTCTTTGTTATTTTTAATTGCTGTGTGTGGAACAACTGTACGTTTTTATTTAGCAGATGGAACAAGTTGCAGCGTTCTGTGTTTGATTTAATCTAAAAATAGACTTATTTCCTGCCTTTTAGCACTTTGCAAAACAAATGAAAGACATTTTACGATGCGGTTATTTTTACTGTTGCATATTRGTTCATGCATGTCTGACGAGCCACACGCCTTTATAAGATTAATTTAAATATAGTAAATAAAAGTTTATTTATTTCTTCACTAGTCTGTTTCCAGGATGCTTTAGATACTTGCACCTTAGAACAGACTCACAGAAAGCTCACACAGGAAGTCCCAATCTAACAGCGTTCTGTCACTTCTGCCCTGCAGACGAGTTTTCAGACTCAGACTCAGATTGAAACTCATCAGTGGATGGATTTCATCTGAACTTTAAATGGAGAAGTGACCACTGCTGAGCCGCCGTCTGCAAACACCTGCAGCTGACAGCCAGAACTCACAGCCCGTCACKCGACGCTGGAAACTTGTAGAAAAAAGGGGAAACAATTTTGATACAAGTTGATTCTGACATGTTTTTTTTCTAATGACTTTTTTTTTAATCTTCATATCCACAGTAATCACATTATTATAAACCTTTGGGTTGATTTAAAAAGAAAACATTTTATTCAGTTCCAAATCCTACGATACGTTTAAAAGCTGTGAATTTTTTCAAATCCTAAACTGAGGAAAGATGGCGCTGTGTGGCCGAGCTCTAAAAAAAACAAAAACAAACTTTTGAGGAAATGAAATAAAAGTTTTTCTTTTATACAAATAAACTCTGCTGCCTCAGTTCACAAGTTCCTTAAAACACTTTTCATTAGATTTTCATACAGAAAACAACAGAAATGGAGATGATTRATGCAAAAATATTAAAATGGTGAAATATGAAGGTTTTTGCTGACAGTGATATTAGATACTAAAGACACCCTGTTTTCTTTMTATTTGATCAAAATAACACAAAGTTTCCTCTAATCTTTTTTGAACATTGACTACTTTTTCATTATTTTTAAAGATTTTTTAAAGTACTCAAGCATAAAAACAGTGTTGTGTTTCATATTGTAGTAAACAATTAAAATTATATTGTTAGTTTTTATTTGCAGTCTAACATGATTTGTTCTTTTTTCTTTGCTCATACAGAAAAAACAAACAAACCAAAAAGTAACTAAATAAATAAAATCACAGTTGAACATGTTTCACAATGTTAAGTTCATTTAGCTTTTTTGTAAGAATATAGGAGAAATGATCATTTAAAAAATATGTTTACAACCTTAACATTAAAACATTTTTCTAAAGGCCTTAAGCCACGCCCCCTGTGCAGAATTAAACTTTTTTTCTACTTTTCTATAATAACTTTTTCATAAGTTTTTTTTTTAGCCCATTTCACGATATTTTTAAAAGGTTTACTGTAAGTACTGTATAATGCAGTTAATTACATATGGGAATATTCTGAACAGCTTTTTGAACAAAAATCCAAAGAAAAGACTGGCGTTTGACATTTTTGCACCATACTGTAAGGGTGATTAAACCAGTTCATAAACAAAACTTTAAAAAAAAATGTTTACTTGTCTAATAATAATGAAGTTGTGTTAAAAAAAGACCACCTATGTTTTTTTTTTCCTGAGTACATGTTGGTTCTGTATTGGTGTTTTGAACAGAAATGGACTGTACAAAAAAAAAAAGTTAAAATTATTTTGTCAAAGTTTAAGAAATCTTTTATTTCAGTTTGTTGTTCAGCGTCAACACTCAAACTACTTAAACATAACCTGTGTATAAAACTTTTTTTTTCAGAGGGAAACGTTTTGAGCTATTTGTATGTTTTTATTCATTAATTACTGCCACTACTGAAAAACCAGACACAAGTGTGTTAATGTGACAAATGGCACTACATGATTGTTCCAACAGCACTGGTGATGGAAAAAATAGCTTTAATTTAGCATAAAACTGGAATTTCAACCAGTCTGGTTTATTAGTGATAATAAAAACATGTGAAGTTCAGGTAGATGCTACATGCTAACAGATCAGCATTAAACTGATGCTAATTAGCCTAGCTAAAGCTAATTAGTAAAACCATCCTAATTAGCAAAAGATAAACTTTAATAGTCCACTTATTTTAAAACAATTCACTTCTACAAGCAATGTAAATCTTAAATAATTACTTTTAAAAGATTTACTACCCAAAAAAAATTATTTTACCAGGGCCCTCTGACCACCACCAGCAGGAAAGGTGGAGGGAACGGGGATCCTCCTATCCACTTCACCAAAGCTGCCCAATAAAATCCAACCACACACACTGCTGTGCACAGAATACATTTGTATACATAAAGCTGTTTTGATTTTAATGCCTTTTTTGTGCAAAACTGTTGAAATAAAAAAAAGTGATCATACCATGGAGTTATTTATTTCACTTTGAGCTGCGGAGGAACATTTTAAACACAAAAGTCCAACCGAGCATCACTTTTAGGCTGCACACGACAAACCCCGGTGTCTATTACTAAAAGCAAACAGAATTAAAGAGAAAGGAAGGTGCACAAAATACAGAACGGATCATTTTATCTCACATGTTCTTCATAACATACTGTAACACAAAGTGCTACGCAGAGAAAACTGGAATTATGGTTGAACAAATTCACTTTATGGTCCGTTATAGAACTCAAAGCATAATGCACTTGTATGATTTTGCTGCTGTACATATGTTCATACTGAAAAACAGAATCATTAATGAAAGTTACAAACAAATATAAAAAATGATTGTCTTCTTATACTTCAGTCTTCAGAACAAAAGATAATTTTAGGTTACTTTTATCACATGCAGTCTGTTTGTATGGAGCTAATTTAAGGCCATAAGTTTTGTTAGAAGTAAAAAGTTTTTGAAACTAAAAAAAATTGAAACTGAAAAATAATTTTAAAACTGAAAAAATAAAGAATAAAAAGATTTGAAACTGAAAAAATATATATTAGAAGCTGGAAAAGTTTCAAACTTCTTGTCTTTTTAGCTTCTTTTTTTTCAGTTTCAAAGATTTTTTTTCCAGTTTCAAAAAAAATTTTTTTTCCCCAGTTTCAAAATTTTTTCTTTCAGTTTCAAATATATTTTCAACAAAACTTATGGCCATAACTTAGCTCCATATTTTTGTGGCAAAATAAAACCAGAAGATGGCGCCAAAGAGTCAGTTTTCATAACCTTGCCTCAGGAGTGCAGTACCTGTCCTGTTAATTCAGAAAACTACAGAAATCAAAAGTTCTTCCTTCTCAAAAGCAAAAATAAAGCTTTTTGTCAAAATACCACATGTCCATTGGCCAAACCAAAAACATTTAAACAACCTTACTTTGGTTCTTTGCATGGTTGAGCTTTAAAACAGATGTGGAGTGAAATGCAGGTTGAGGCACCCGGTGACTTTATTTCTGATGTTTTCTAAAAAAAAAAAAACGGGGGTGGGGGAGTGGGGGTCCACACCTGAGATGAGAGTTCCAGGCAGAGGGTGCTGCTCTGCTAAAGTCATTTTCAGCCTCGGATATGTGCAAAGGGATGAAAACACTTATTTGACGCCGACTGTTTCCAATTACCGACACGGAACAGTTTTGTTTTTGACAATTCAAGTGTTAACAATAAAACATTTTAAAAGGTCTGTTGAGTGTTTGCAATCAAATAAGCAAACACGGTCCCATATAGTTGATTTAAAAACAAAAGCATGAAAGTGAAATCGCTCTAAAAACCTTCGTTTAATTAGTGCACAACCTGAGCTTTAACAGATGTGGGTCATATTACACCTTAAATCCATCAATCCATCTTTAGCCTCTGCTGGCAACTAAAGTCTTTGTTTTAAGGTTAAAAAAAAATCACTTGTTAAGTTAATAAAAACATTGGAAATCTCACTCTCTAAAGATGATTTTACTACTGGCCTTCAAAACAAACAAGTGATGGAACTTTGTGTTGAACTGCAGGTTTCTGGTCCGGAGGACTCCTGGTCCACAATCACATTTTTATTTTATTTTGTTTTATTTTATTTTATTTTATTTACCAAAGGTCATCAGTGGAAAGCAAACTGTACAAACCTTCTGTTTAAAACTCAACTTCACTGGTGGAGTAAAAACAAGTCAACACGTCCTTCAGAACAGGACCTGACGGCGTGAAGCTGCAGCTCTGTCAGCGCTGCCCCAGACGTTCACTCAGGAGTGTTTGTGTGAGGAGAAGCCTCGGTGACTGCTGTAAAAAAGCCAAAGTTCATCTCCAGCCATGAAATGAGTAATAATTAAACAGCGGAGCTGCAGAAATCGTAAACCCCGTCGCTGCTTTAAAGGGGGCGGAGTCTCATCCCTCTCAGTCAGCTGCCGGCTCGGCTCTCACGCCAGCTCGGGTCGGGCCTCCATCTCCCCGCGGGACGCCGTGCGTGCTCGGGTGTACTCGCTGCTCTGAGCCGCCCCCTGACACCCGTTGCCCCGGCGCCACCGCCGCACTGCCAGGAAGGTGTTCAGGCCGTAAACACTTGTCACCAGAAAGCCGAAGATCTGGGTCCAGGAACAGGAAGCACAAAAACAATGACCTTTAATAATAAATTAAACCATATTTATCCAGGAGTATTTACAAAAAAGTTACAGCTGATGTGACTAAAACACAACACTTTTGTCAGTGGAAATATAACTAAAGGGCAGGTTAGTTCTGACGACTGACTCACCACTGCTGCGATTTCAGCTCCCGTGTTGTGATTGATGCAGGCCAGCACCAGGGACGACAAGAAGAAGAAGAAGGTGCTGGCAGCCGTGTTGACCAAGTCCTGCAGGAAATCAAGCAAACATATGGCCACGTGACGCAGCAGCAGGATTTATTTTACAATATTTCTTACAATTTGGGTGTAAATTTGATCTGCTGAGAGAGGATCTAAAACTGCAGATTCATTACTCAGGTTTTTAGCATTTAATCAGGGATGGGCGATAATTCACTAATAATATACACTCACCGGCCACTTCATTAGGTACACCTGTCCAACTG